TTATTAAGTTTCACATCTATTTTTTATTAAAACTTATGGTTATATCAAAATATCAACTAGAAGTCGAACATATAAATCTATAAAATTAGCAGATGTTACAATCTATAGGGAATTAGATACATTTCGATTCTAGACAAATACAGTGCAACTATTATGAGATTCAAACTTACATTCCTATATTCGATGGAGGTATAACATTAGTGTTTTCAGAATGATTATAGATAATTTGGAAGACTTATTTAAATCGTCTTTAAAGATTACCATATGATTAAAATGTATTAAATCAAAACTAATAGGACATGCTAGATTATTTTCATAAAGCATTACAAGTAAAACTAAATTTATATTGGTTGGCCTAGAGTATTAACTTAAAAGTAATATTTATCATTCAGTGAATATAGGAATTAAATAAATGTGTAATTGAAGCATTGTAAATAAGCAACATATGATGTACTTGAATATTATGATAGATTAACAAGTCTTAAGGCTAAAAAATATTTGCCACAAGAATATTTTATTATTTGTTATATATTTCATTAAAATTCTTAAATGAGATATTAGCAATGACTAATACAATAATTCGCCAGAATCCTACATGAGGTTTTATTTATATCTTTGAATGTTGAAGAATATTACAATCATTCTTCTATAACCACCATACCTATAATTGAAGTCCTCAAAGATAAATCATTACCTTCTCCTCTAAAGACGGTCAAATCTACACTAATACAAGAATCATGTTATTAGGCCGGTTCTCACTGAATCGACCCAGCCGGCCCAAGGAGGAAGACAATCTGCCCCGGGTTCTCACTGAACCGACCCAACTGGCCCAAGGAGGAAAACAAATCCCCCCCCCCCTCCTTCTTGCCGCCCAAGCCTAGTGGACCCCACTAGGAGGCAAATTAAGGAGAGAGAGGGGCGGCTAGGGTTGAATGGAATTTTTGAATGAGGAGTTTTAATTAAGGGATTAAATAATAAGAGTTGTTTAGGGTTAGGGTTATGCATGCTTATTGTTTCTCATGTAATTCTCTTTGTTGTTTTGGGCTCTAGATTCATCGTCTAGAGATTGGGAGAGAACGACCCTCCTCCCAAATTGAGGATCAATTGTATATTTGCTTCTTGTTTTTAGTTTGATTCCTATAATACAATGTACTATTTTTGGATTGTTTTCATTGGAGATCTTCAAGTTTTTCCGCTGTTTTCACCAATTATTATTGGTTTACTTGCAAACTCTAAGTATTTCCTATCACATGCATGGCTGAAGTTGATCCTATTTAAGAAAGTATAGTTCATGAATATCCTTTTGAAGATGAATTATATGAAGATTATAATAATAGTTGGATTCTTCCGGTGTTGTGGAATCTAAATCTCCACCAATTAGTTATAATTAAGTAAAAGTTTTAATTCAAATTTAAAATTGAGTGAATTTGAATTAATATTCATTTAAAAACCAAACCTGAAATTGAAAGTGAACATATGATTATATCTAAACCTAACTTGTAATTAGAACTTAAACTTAATCTTAATTATGAATCAAAGCTTCTACGCAAAATTGAACATACTCTTGAATATAAACTGAAATTTTACTAAATTTTATTGAATATGAACTTGAATACAATCTTAAATATGCACCTGAACAAGTAATATCCATTGAAGATGAAAAATCAATTGATGGATGTGACAATTTAACCCATGATGAATTTCTAATGAAATCATCCATACAAATCAAACTGAATATGATTTTCTTTTTTTATTCTTGGTCCCTTAATTTTCTAACTCATTATGAGAGCCATATGAAAAAGATTAATAATAGGCAATATTGTTTGATGGAAAGTGAGCATCAAGTATTCCAAATGCATAGATTTTAAGAGTTCTAGTATTTGGTTTGATAAAAATTAATTATATAGTAAAATTTTTGTGAATTCCAAATTCACTATACAGTTCATTTTTTTATGTATTCAAAATTTTCCCATCTTCAGCCAAATTCTTGCAAGCAAATTCAATTATCGCTACGGCCGCCACTGACCATCACCCACAAACCTCTACAATAATCCAATACTACTGGCCACCGGACAGTACCATTGTTAAGCTTTATATTGTATTTATTTTATTTTAAATTTAAAAAAAAAAACAATAATGACCTACATTTATTTTACACTCATCCAAGAAAATCTAAAGATTTTAAATATATTACATTTCTTAGACATTGTATTTCATTTTACTCTAAATTTTTGCTAAATAAAGTTGAGTCGACATTTCAACAAATTTGTTAATGATAAATGATTTAAAATTAACTCTGACTCCAAAACTTAGGAGAATCTTAAAATATATAACTTATCATAACAGATATTTTTAGTCATTTGTGATGGCTTTCTTTTTGTTCGTTTATATATATATATATATATATCATGTAGCAGAGTTTGCCTACGATCAATTCATTTTTATAATCTTATCTATGAATAAGTAAATTATTACTAGTATCAACTTCGATGCATGTTGGAATTTTAATATTTCATTATTTGCTTCACATCTTATCTATGACCTTTCTTTATTAGATTTAAACAAGAATTTGACTTTTAATAGGACACAATGGAGGAAAATGATTCATGTAGCCGACCCCACGTAGTGGGATAAAGGCTTGATGTTGTTGTTGTTGTATTATTTGTTTCACATCATTTGTGTAATTTTTATGATCTTCATGATTTCCATGATGACATGCATAGGCAATTAACTGCTAAACATAATTGTTATAAGTTTATTTCTGATAGGAACATGAGATATGTGGAGTCAAATTAAGTCACAATGTAATGATAATGGTACGTCATAATCCTTAAAGGTTTTCTACCGGAATCTTTAAGAAATTAAATAAAAGAAATATGGAACCCTACAAAATCATATGGTGCATTGGAACAAATGTTTATAAATTAAAATTAGTTATGATATTAATCCAATCGTAAAAATATTTAATTTAATTTTATAACACGAACCTACTACCAATATCATGGATTCTTCTGTATTTATATCTACTAATAAATCCATTATCTCATCAAACACATATACTCATTTATTTCAAAAACTATTTCAAATAATAATATTATGCCCAGTATAGATGATGGATATCAGAGATATCTTATGTGTTGGTATGACATGGCTACTTATGATGATTTATAGATAACTTTGCAGAAAGCATAACATTAATGCCCAAATTTGCTTGAAAATATCAAATGCTCAATTCACAATTATCAAATTCTTTAACTCTGGAAGATTTGATGAAAATTTGAAATTTTAAACTCGTCAAAAGAACAAGATGTAATCATTGAGTTTTTTCTTGTTATTTTTCTTGTTTTAGTTTTTTTTTTCGAGTTTATTTTTTATAACATGCATATGAGAATGAAATTTAGCCGGCTGATAAAATAGGGAGATGTAGGTACTTGGATGGATATAATTTAGCAGTGCAAGTTGTTTTCAATTCAGCTATTATTCCCTCGATCATTTGCTTTCCAACTCCCTATTTTATCAAGCCGGTTGATTTGAACAGTACAATATTATTACTTCTTTTTTTCTGATATATACATTGAAGCTTAGATCGGTTCCTGCAAACTTGCAGTTGTTTGTACTATATAGTAGAAATGGAATAATTGATGTAGACATGGTCTTTTTTTTTTTTTCTTCGCTTCATAAGTGCTCCTGGCATCTCCTTATTATGGTGGCCCCCACCCAACCCCTCCCTCTCCTCTTTTTTTGGTTCACTAATGCTCTCGGAATCTTAAACTGCAAAATGCGTCTTTTTTTAGCTTCTCTACTATCTTCAGATTTTTTCCTATAGTCGATATCACCTGATGGTTGCTTTCTATTTTGCTACTTTCCTATTGTAGCAACTTTATGTTGTTTGTTTTCTTTCTAAAGGAGGGACTATTAATTAATGCTATTGAATTGTGGATTTGAAACTTGTTGTTTGGGTTGGAAATGCGATATTGTTGATTTAAAGATCAAGATCTTTAATTTTTTTACTTTATTCATGTTCTAATAATCTAGATGCTTTTTGATTAGCTTTGCAAGTTTGATTGTGATTTGGTCTAGTTTGCTCCATATCAATTTTCTTTTGATGGGTGAATTTTAAATCAATGTATATTTTTTTTCAAAAATTTCGTGTATTTTAGATTTACAAGACTGTTAAATCGTTATTTGGAGTGAATTGAATATGTTAACTCTTGTAGATCAAAGAAGAATAATCTTTAGCAAAATTAAAAAGTGAAAATTTGCATTATGAGACTTTTGACATGTTTTGGGCATCTCATTTTAAGTTTTGCATTAATGAACCCTAGATCCTAAACATCTCATATTATATAGTACACTTAATATAATTATAATCATATAATATATTTTATAAAGAAACCCAAAATTATTAAAATATGGAATTATTTAAAAATTAAGGTTCTTACCCTTGATCAGGCAAATATCTAGTTTTTACTATATCTGAATTCGTGATTAAATTATAGTGGGTGTGAGGGTTATGTCATAATTCAATTTGGCAAATATAAAGTCATTATTTTGAGGTTTGCATATGTTTCTTTCCTCATTAAAAAATATGAAATTCTATGAAAGATAAGATCCTTTTAAATAAACCAAAAAACCACCGACATATTTAAATCTATGATCCTTAGTTGCCTTCTCTAGAATATCATTAAATCTAATGTCATGTTGAAAACATAAATAATTGGAGCTATTATGTCCTGTTTTAATTACTTCAACTACTAGTGCCTACAAAGGACAGTAAATAATACTTCATAACTAGATCACACAAGATTTTTTTGTGGAAAAGTAGGCATATAAAGTTGGAATATAATGAAAAACATTTGAAGGCTTAAACATGTAACAGAAAATATTGTAGGATTCCAATTTGTTAGGTCATTACTTAGTCACGACACATTAGAGGACGCCACTAGACAAAAAGGAACAATGCTAATAACAGAACTTTTAAAAAAAATTGAGAAACTAACCTCAGAAGAACCGCTAGCAGAAGAGCCTGCTCCAGAAGTTATAGATGTTTCTATAGGACCAGGACAGACAACTGTAACTTTGATGCCTTCAGGATATAACTGCAGTACCAAAGGAATATTTATAAGACAATAAACTGGTTTACTGCCGCACAACAGATGGCACATCAAGAGATACTTCTATAATAAAGTTGGTGAACAGAAATAAAATATAAGGCAAATCACTTTTAGGGGCTGTTTGGCAACAAGTCGGATTTAACTCAAGTAGGATTTAGTAAATTCTTTAAATTCGGTTTTCCTAAATCTTGAGGATATTAAATCCTAAAAATTATTTCATAAAAAATATTTTAAATCCTGGTAAACCTATGAGACTATTTTTTATCATGAGACTATTTGGCAACGTAACTCAGGATTTGTAAAATGCTATGTTAATTTGGGTTATAAATGTAATTTATATTTTAAATATGAGTTATTTATTAATTTCAATTTTAATTACCATCAATAAGTTATAATTATATATAATAAAATTAAAAGCTAACTTAATTATCAAATAACTTAACTAATGATTTAATTGCTAATTATAGTACTAATTATCTAATTACTAATTTGTGTGTAATTTTAATAAGAATTTTGATTACTAACTTCATTGGTAATTATCTAAATAATTATTTAATTATTATTTGATATAACTAATTATTTAATTACTATTTACACTACATATTATTTATGCATTATTTTTATAAGTTTTTAATTACTAATTATACTTTTAATTATTAATTTTATTAATAATTATTAAAGAGTTCACTCTTCCAATAGGCTTTGGCTTATCTAGGATTTGCTTTTTCTCTTCTTTATTTCTTCGTTGTTGTTCAACTTCACTTGCTTCGCATGAGGTAGAGTTTTAAATGAGTTGCATTAACTTCTTCACCTCCTTCGACGACATTCCCTTCCTGTTGGATCAAAAGTCACAACAATTCGATGACATTCTTCATGTTGGATCGAAAGTAAAGACAAAAGCTCATTCACCACGAATGTGAGCTTCACTATGAATCTAACCATCTTTCTCCCCTTCCACGCGCTTCTTCGACCAAATCCTATAAATTTGTCGAGCTATAGGATTTAGTAAATATGTGATTAATGGCAAAAAGAGGGAACAAAGGATTTAATTTGTTGTAAGATTTAAGATGCCCATTTTTGCATTTGGCCAGATTTAACTCAAATCCCTCTTAAATTCTTCTACCAAACATCCCCTTAGGCTCTTGAGCTCTAGATTAACATATACAAATGCCCACATTTTTAACATCTTACATGCAAAGCCACTATAATTCAAAATCTTATATATTATTCCAACAACCAACTTCTCAACAGCTCGAGTAAATTAACTTAAAATTCCCTACCCAATTTTTGAATATTTCATCTCTTTCAACTCTACTTCACTCACACGCACGAGTCCCCCACCAATACACTCTACAATATCTCTAATATCATCCCCATGTTAATAATGGGTTAGGGTGAGGCCTATAATACCAAAATCCCATTTCCCCTCCCACTACATAATTTATTTAAAGTCTTGTGTCAATGAGATTAGGGCAAAGAGGGATCAAAGTTGGACTCATACACCAATGGCTAAATCATTTTCAACCCAAAAACTTAAGCATACAAGTGCTAACAACTATGTTTCTCAACACTAACATATTTGTTTCAACTATTTGATGTGGTACTAAACTCAATAAGCTCATGAGACTAACCATTCTCCCCACACATGGAAGATCATTATATCAACCATCACTCTCCCTCAAATGAAAGTTTTTGACATCATTAACTACTTAGAAAAAGAGCCTAATGACAAAATGTGGCCTTTGTGGGAGTCATTTCGTTTTTAATTTTTATTTACCACAGCAGAAGTCACCCAAGTTTCATGGATGAACCAATTGATCCTAGTTGAACGATCAACTCTGATGTCACTTTTTAAACAGTGTAAATGTGCATAGAAGTTGGACTGCTTATACCACTTTCTGAACTCTTTTTTAACTCAAATACTTAAGTTTATAAATGAGTTTATAAATGAGGGTCAAGCACTTGGTATTTCAATGCCAAGATAGTTTTTTAACTATTATATATAGGACAAAACCAGTACTCTCATGGGCCTTAACAATATTCCACTTAAGTGAGAACTCTTCACATCCGCAATCACTCCCCTTCAAATGGACAACATCACCAACTATCATGCACCAATAGCTCATTCAATTAGATTTAACAGTCATGGGAGTCACTTGTTCTTTAACCTTGCTCAACCATCTTAGAAGCCAGTCAAAACTAAATAGATCCACAAACTACATACCACTCAATCCAAGCCAAAGTATTGACTTTAATGCAACTTGTTAGGGAATGTAAATTAAAGAGGAGCAACGAAAGAGCATAATGCCCTAGTGTTCAACCTTGTTTTAACCCAAAAGTTTATGCCTATGGGTAAAGGCCAATCACTCAGTATTTCAACACCCACTTTTTTTTTAAAAAAAAAATTGATATGGAACTAAATTAATACTCTCACATTCCTTAACAAGTGCGCTTGTCACTATTATCTTTAAATTACTTTGAACTTTTAGTGAGGACAACAAAACCTCAAGGGCGTGAAGTTTTCGCATGGCTGACATAGAAATCTCATAATTTAAGAGATAACAATGGTAGAAGCCTATGTCGCACTTCAAGGGACTAAAGAAAATAAGAAATAGAACTTAGTTATCTAGATATAAGATTTCAAATATGGCTTACCCAAAATGAAGTTGTGAAAAAAATGACCAATGAGAAAGGAGAATTAAATTTGGTGAGTTGAATGCAATTAAAAAAGAAAGAGTAGAAAATGACCATTCCATCTTTACAAGTGCATTCGAGTTCTCAAGGACATTGTTGGGTACTTCAAGAATAGAAGCATTGAAATTTTAAGCTAAGGGAAATAAATTTATTAGTTGAATAAAAACATGCTTACAAACTTTTCTTAAAAATTAAATGAAAATGGTACTTTGGATTTCCATGAGTTCAAACACAATAATTATTGTCTGGTAAAACTAGATAAGTTTACATTCTCAAGCATTAATTAACCAGCAGAAATAATACCTCAGATCGCAAAGTGTGAAAATATCCATTAAGAGCATGCTTGGATGCTGAGTATATAGCCTGCCCAGGTGCAGGGCACTTACCTGCAGCACTACTCATCTGAAGTAACATTCAATAACAAATTGAGGAAATCTTATAGCGAGAAGATCTCATAAGTCAATGCATAATAATCTTTTTATCAATGTACCACAATAAAATGACCCCCTCCCCTTTTAAGCATGAAAGGAGCAAGAAGCTTTGTAAGAGTAATAGTCCCCAGCACATTAATGTTGAATGTGGCCTAATTGAAGAAGACATGTAAGTCAAACTATCACTTCACTTTAAGACTGAACCTTGATGCTACTAAATTGCAGAAGATCTTAATACCTGAATCCCTTCCTCAGTTTCATCCAGAGCTTTTCTCTTCTGCAAACCAAATAAACAAATTAAGCAGATTAAGGTGGTCCAATGGTGACTACTCATCCCTGTTATAGTGCAATAGATCCCATATCAGACTGCTGAGACAGCCTTTTTTATCATTATGAAATGATTTCACCAGGAGTGGATTGAATCTTAATCATGAAGAGAGTGGAAACACTAACCGGACGCTCAAAGGCTGCATTATGTACCATATAGTCCACACCAGAAGCAGAGAAAAGGGACTCTGCCTTTTTAACTGCATCTTTCAGAGCTTCTTCACCGGATGCCAAATCTAAAGGCAATATCTCAATATTGGTACCAGGATACTTGCCTATACATCAACAAGCATTAAGCGACAATCAGAGAAAGTCTCTATTCAAGCTCATATATGTAATATTATGACATTATACTTGCCAATAGTTTCAATTTTGACTCTCTCAAGCTCTGCCACATTTCTAGCAGAAAGTATCAACTTTGCCCCTAAACATGCAAATTGGCCTGCAAGAACTTCTCCTGAAAGTGGGAGAAACAAAACCTCATATTAATACGCAGCCATCCTCTCGTGAAAGACAAGACATTGTAGAAAGTAATGATAATGTTACTTATTAATTCAAGCACAAAAACAGTCGGTTAATCTTGATTTTAAATTTACCTCATTTTTTTCATTTGAAAATTAATCATTAGCTTATTATATACTAAAAATATGTGACTAATGCATATATGATTCAAAGCTGAACCCAAAGGAACTTTGCCTGAAACAAGTTAAAATTTGTCAGGTAAGTAAGCAAAGTTCAAGCAATCATAGCCTAGAAAATCATAATATAAAGTATATTCACTTTGCTCCCAACATGGAATATAAAATAATCCAACTTCAAACGTACAATGAACATTCCATAATTTAGTAGTTTGTGAGTTGACTTAAATCAAGTGGGGTGTAATGAGACGACAACAAAAAATTATTTCCTAAAATGCAGTTTTATGGTTCAGCTGAATGACAATTAAGATTCAACAAACATGACACGAGTCATAACGTCCAAGCTCAATAGAAGGTCATGAGATGTCAAGTGCTAAAACTAAAAGTCAAGTTTTGCTCAAGTTGCTTGAGTCAAGCTAAAGCAATTTTTTTACCAAATAAGCGTATATGCCATGCAGCCTCACCAACATAATAAATAGTTCATTTTCATGATTGTTTTGAATCAATTTATAGTTAGATTATGTTACCTGATCAGTATAATATAAAGGGTGTGCCCATATTTGTTTCCAATCAATTAATAGTTGGAATTATGTGAGTTGCCTCAAGTACATGGATTCATTTGTCTAACAGGGCATAACACAAATCTACCATAAATTAAAACCCAGGACTTGAGATGGCCTCCTTAGCAAGCCTTAGATTTCTAGGTTGAAAGTAGCATTTGGAAATTGGCTCTTTGCCTGATAAAGAATATATACAAGAAAAAGAGAAGACTCCAGATTTTAAAATGTTCATATTCGTATTCAGAAGAAAAACTTGGATAAATGCTAGCTTGATACAGCATGGGTTCATGCTAGAATCAATTAGCTGTTACTTGGGTTCTGTGATGCACATGAAGTGGTTATCTTTACCAACTGCTTGGGAATCAACTAATCAGGAAAGTAAAAAACAAATATCACCTCTTTACCCCAACGATAATAAATAAATATATTCATAAAACTTTTCTCAACGTATCTTACTTGTCAACTTCCTCATGTGTGTTAAGATGTATATAAAGTCATTCTATTGAAAAAAGAGCATAAAACAGCATCACTTTGCAACAATTTGACATGAAATAATCATTAAATATTGTAAATATCATATTTATCAGAACCAATTTTCTTTAATTTTAATTTTATTGTTCTCCTTTTGCTTGTTTGTAGATCTCAAACTTGCTAAGTAGGTGGGAAGCGATTTAGAGATGTTCATAAGGTGATTGTATATCTTCTTTATGGGTATAAATTAAATAAAAGAACAGATTAACAAGTACAAAATAGAAAAAATAAAGTACCTATGAGTTGTTGACACCATATATGTGCAGTGGAAATTAATCGAATACTACTCAAGCATGTTGGGATTGAAGGGGAGCAGGGGTGGTGTTGATTTCAGGAATTCCCAGATCGGATGAGAACATGATTTTCCTTTATCTCTAAGGGTTGTTTGGTTTGAAGTAAAAGGTTTGAAAATTATTTCAAACACAAAGGTTTTGAGAATATTGGTATTTCATTTGAAGTAAAATAAATGTAGTGTAAAATTTTGATGCACTTGAAATTCAACTAGTTCATTTTTGGTACATTTGGAATTCCTCATATTTGGGCGAGTTTCAAATACATCGAAAAATCATTACAATTATTGCCGCCTGTTGCAGTTGTTGGCAGCCGCCGACCACCTCCTGTCGGCCCCTGTCATCCACGGCATGTCAACTAGCCACTATCGCCACCCACTGTTGCAGGCCACCGCCAAGCGAACAATTATTACGTCCTCTGACCGCACGTAGAGCTACGTTCGGCCGCCAATAACATGTCGCCACATGCTCTTACTCTCTACCGCGCGGCCCGACGACTTGACCCGGACCGGAACCCGGGAATAATTTGTTCGCGTATTGCGAGGTATTACTCGATATTTGCTCGGTATTGCTCGGTATTGCTAGGTATTGCATGACAATAACGAGAAATACCGCTCTGTGAAGACCAATACCGAGTTGTACCAAGTTGTACCGAGTTTTTCTAAAATACCAATACCGAGTTGTACTAATACCTAGAAAAACTCAGTACAACTCGGTACAACTCGGTATTACTCGATATTTGCTCGGTATTGCTCGGTATTTGCTCGGTATTGGTTATTGCCAAGAAAAATCGACCAATACCTAGCAATACCGAGTTGTACCAATACCTAGATAAACTCGGTACAACTCGGTACAACTCGGTATTACTCGGTATTTGCTCGGTATTGCTCGGTATTTGCTCGGTATTGGTTATTGCCGAGCAAAATCGATCAATACCTAGCAATACCGAGTAATACCGAGCAATACCTAGCAAAATCGAGAAACACCGAGCCATCATGGGTCAGTTCCGGGTCGTGTTGTCGGGGCGCGTGGTAAATAGTAAGAACGCGTGGCGCGATTCTACTGGCAGCCGAACGTAAAGCTACGTCCTGTGACCGGACCAAATAAAAGTTCCAGCCAAGCACCGCCACCCACCAACGACCACCATCACCCACCTTCACTGTCAACGCCCACCACAATCACACGCCACCACCAGCCACCACTATTGCTGGCCACAACAGTCTGCAACTGGTCATCGTCGGCCACCACTGTCGCCAATTGCATCCACCTAGCACCACCATCTTTGCACTTTACATTGCATTTATTTTCTTCAGACCAAACAAAAAAATGTAATATTATACATTCATTTTGCACTCATCCAAACAACTCCAAAATATTCATTTTACACTGCATTCCTTTTTCAGCCAAATAAATAGCCCCTAAGTGGATTCATATCACATTCTTAGGCAACTCCTCCCTTAAGAAGGCAAGTCTCAAGATTACAATAAAACAAAGAGAAATAGAGAGAACGACAATCAAAAATCTTGAAAAAAAATCCAAATCCTACGCTTATGAGGTCAAGAAAAGATTTGAGCACAGATCTCACATTTAGAGCTTCAAATTCCTATTTATAGAAGCTTGTCAAGGTCAATGTTATAGGCTTGATTGAACAAAAAAACACTGCGATGTACCCCTCTATACAACTTCATCTAGATCGGCCTGCTAGTAGACAGGTCCTTACTGCTGCCAGTCACTACTTTGTTTGCTAGGTAGCGGGTATTCCAAGCATGGTATTCACAGCATGGTTTAAAATTGCGCAATATGAGGCTTGCCTTGAGGCCCTCCTTTAAGCAATTCCAGTAAAAAACGCCTTGATGCTTACGCCTCGAGTTTTTTTTATGAGGCTTGCGCCTCAACTTGGTTGAGGCCCGCCTCGCCTCACTGGCATGAGGCTTACGCCTCATGCTATATATATTAAAACTTACATAAATCTTGAAGTAAATGCCCGACATTGGACTCTATAGGAGAGGAGGAAGGGGAGAGAGCAGTTCATCATAATGATGATTCAAATGAAAAACCCCTTAGTGATGACAGTGTTGATGACTTATGAGTTCTTATGTGATATGTCATTGTTATTTGTTTTTGGAAATTGGAATTATATGTTAATGAAAAGAATACTGGGATTTGGGAAAGATAGAATTTTGAGTTGAACTATATTTCATGTTGTCTTATTATTGGGATATTTTGATTTCAATTCATATCTTATGTTTTTTTATGTCTTATATTATTCACTCATTGGTATATAAAAAATTTATCATTTTATGTTTACGCAATCTTTTGATTTTGAGGCTTACGCCTCAAAAAGCCTTGAGGCTTACGCCTTGCCTCACGAATGAAAAACGCCTCAATACCCGAATACGCAATTTTAAACATTGATTCACAGTTTGTGAGAACTGCATCTTGTTGATTAGTTATCAGCGAACAGCTTGCTTTAGTCAATTAATTCCCCATTGAACTCCCGGTCGATTCTTGAGCAACTTGTGACTAATGACTCTAGCAATACTACTAATTAAAGAGAACTTAACCAATGAACAGATTAGCTTATTTGGGAAACCCAAGAGATGGATCCAAATCAATGGTGACTCGGCTAACCGAATTGACTGATCAATTTGTCCCAAGCTGAAATGGGTACACATGAGTAAATTGAGTGAGGAGTTGCAATGGTACAGCATATTTCAAAAATATCTAAGAATTGTTTCAAAGAACTAGAAGAGGCTGAAAATTACAGCCCATAAAACTTTTCTTCCCGTAAAACATTGATGTTTTTATCGATATGCATCAGGGAGGAATGTCGACTCACCAATTCCACGGCTTGCTCCAGTAATCCAGACGACCTAGGCATTTACACAGTAAAGATAGAAAATTTACAGAAGAAATCAAACTAGGAAATCAAATGGAGCAAGAATATTTAGCTAATCACACCTTGCCTTCCACTCGCTCGCGTTTCGCACGACCCTTGAACAGCAGCGTGAAATCCCCTGGATATCGAGCATCATCACACAACATGTTAAAATTTCGAAGTGAATGAAAGATGAAAGTGTTCAGGGTTTCGAAACATAACCATCTGCCGTTGCGAACTTCACAAGAAGGGCTCCGATCGTGAAGAGGGTGAGGGAGCCAATAACCAACGCCAACATTTTCGTTATAGACAAAGATAGAAAGCAGTCGGAATCGGCTTTTTGTTTCCGTTTTTATCTATGGAAACTTAAAAAAAAAAAAACTTACATGGATTAAGATTTCACTTGGTCTTTTCGCTGCTTTTAAATTGTTTTTTAATATAAATTTTTTTAATTATAATTTTTTTATTAAATTTCAAATAAGTTATCTCATTTAAAATTTAGTGCTGCAGAAAAATAATTCGTCCCTAATCAGAGAAAGTTATTAGGTCCAGAGACCGGACGTAGCGCTGCGTTCGAACGCCAATAAAAACTGGATATGTGAATGCGTACACGTGAAATTTTTGTAATATAATCTTTTTATTTAATTTATCATCCTGACCCGACCTGGTCCAATATTTTTTTCATTTTAAACGTAGGTTTGGCACTATTTTTAGAAACATGCCAAAGATCTAAATATGTATTGTTTTTTATATGTACTGAAGAAAAAAAGAGCTAGAAAATTGCATAAAAGAGATAACTCTTCGAAGAGAGAGAGGGAAGGGGTGCATGAATCGGAAGGGATGCCTGAATCAGAAGTAAACTTAGCTGGAACTTCCGTAGGTCTCAACATATCGATAAGTTTCAATCTCATCGCAAGTTGTATTAAGAATATGCTTTTTGAAAGTTGTAAAACAAAGCTGAGTAGAAAAAGGGCATCAATGCTCAGTAGATTTTCACTCATTAGAGGCTTAAGCTCTTAGATGTTGTTGTTCAGTTGTCAAAGAACATTATTTTTAGGGTTCGTAAAGATAAACAAGATGCACTGTAATTTTGCTTGTATACCTGCAATAAATCTCAGGGTAAAAAAGGTCACTTGGGCAATGGAACAAGAAATAATAACTTTGAAGGTGGTATGGGATTCATATTCAGAAATCAAGTGGGTAGATTTATATATCAAATGAGCACATAAGCTCAAGGGAATGAGGAGGCTGAACAGTACATGCTTGCCATAATGAAAGATATTGTTGAAAACTTAGATTTGATTCTTGGTGGCAAGAAAAAAAAAATCAAAAGTATGATGCAAGATCACAGGGTGGCAGTCCAAATTTGAAATATCCTCTAAAGCGTAGGCATAAATGAATATCTAATGCAAGATTGAAAAGCCACTAGGAAAAGAAGAAGCTGCCTAAGAGTAAGTTTTAATATCCTGTTAATTATATTATTCTTTATCTAAGACTAAAGCTGTAATTTTTAACAAAAAAAAACTTTTAGTGCGGGGGGGGGGGGGAAAGAAAAGGGGGGAAATAAAAGTGATGGATGATATCAAAGTTGTACATAAGACAATGGATGAGCTTTCTTCAACACAGATGAACTTCTCAAGCATGCTTGAATGCTTCAGTGAGGAATATATAATCGGACAAGCTTTAAGCCAACCAGGTGTTGAGTACATTAGATTGATGGTGAATTTCATTACTTTGGAGTTGAAATTTAATGAATTTTTATTGTAATAATATTTATTGTGAACTTATGAATATTCATCGTAATAAATATTGAATTTTAATTATGAATTTTTATTGCAATAATTATTAATTGTTAACTTATGAATATTTATTGTAACAAGAATTAATTTCTCTATATATGTGCTTTAGTTGAGCTTTAGTTGCACTTTACTTGCGTTTTTTGTGTGCTATACATGCGCTTTTCTAACGCTTTAGTTGCGCAATTTGTGCGCTATTTGTGCGATTTTCTTGGACTTTAGTTACGCTATTTGTGCACTATATATGCACTTTTCTTGCGCTTTAGTTGCGTTATTTTGTGTGTTATATATGCGCTTTAGTTTTGTTATTTTTGCGCTATAGATTCACTTTTCTTGCACTTTAGTTGTGTTATATCTGCACTTTAGTTGTGCTTTTTTGTGCTTTTAAAGCACTTTGATTGTGATTTACTTGCGCTTTCATTATTCTTTAGTTTTATTTGAGTTACGCTCAAAATGTTCAAATTTACAAAATCTACAAAATAAATAAATAATATATATTTAACATTTAAAAACTCGAAATATTTAGATTTACAACGCAAATGTACAAAATTTATAATTGTATTACCAAATGAGCATCATAATTTTCTATTTTACTTCTTTGTCATAAGAAAAAGAAAATATCCAAATTTTGCCCTAAATTTTGGCATATATTTTTACCAATATTTATAAGAGTTCCAGTCCACTTTCCTTCGCATAATGGCTTTCTTTATGTATTTGCACATGAACATTTCACAGTCAACATCGTTTGACTGAGTTGGAATTCCACAGACAGTTTGTAAATTTCATTTTGTTATATTGCTTGTAAAGGCTCCTTTAGTGTCTTCATGCCAGGCTTTTATCTGAAAAAAAAATAAACTAGTATTTTATTTTATATTCATATTGAGAAAATAAGATGATACAATCTTGCTTTAACTTACAACTTTATAACATATATCTTTGTGTTCTTTATTGAATAAGGAATCATATAAGTTCCAGACTCTATCTTTTAACCTGCTTATAGTAAGTACCCAATACTTAATGAAAATTATGGATTGAACAATAAAATTGCTTTCTTTAATAGAATCAAGATTAATGTGTTGGATGAACATATGGTAAGGTTGATTGTAATCCTTATATACCTGCAATAAGTCAGCTATATAAGAAAAATAAAACAACAACAACAACATCAAGCCTTTATCCTACTACGTGGGGTCGGCTACATGAATTCAAAACTTGGAATAGAAATCCTATATATAAGATAACAAACAAGCAAAAGCATATACATGATTATCATCTAAATATTGATTTGTGAGCATATCGTCAATATCAGCTCTGTTTATTGCTATGTTACCAAAAGAAAATATAAGGTCGTCCCTATAAAAAAAACACACACACACATACACATAAAGCGCAAGTAAAATGCAAAAAAAGTGTATGAAAAGCACACGTTTAGTGCATTAAAAGCACAACAAAAGCACGCATAAAGATCTTTAAAAGTGCATGTAAAGTGCACATAAAGCGCATAAAAATCACAATAAAAGCTCACCTAAAGCTCATAAAAAGCACAACAAAGTGCACCTAAAGCTCATGTAAAGCGCATAAAAAGCACAACAAAAGTGCAAATGAATATACTTTTTTTTATCAAACATCTTGAAATAATCATCCATAAAACTTTGTTGTTGATTAATTTGGAAATACTTCCCTGAATATTCTTTTATATGCTATGTAAGTCGAGAGGTACAATTTTCACATTATTAACATAAATAATATCATGGGTCTGCATTGGTTTCTCCGGTCTTTCAAATGTTTTATTGTCATCCCTTTTTTATGTGGTTGGTATTGAATGATTTGTTTGGAAGTACTCTGTATTGACTAAACATCTGTTGTATGTAGTGATTGAATAATATATGTAGTGGGTGGTGGTGGAGGAACATCTATAGTAGGTGGTGTTTGAGGAATATCAATAGTGGGTGGTGGTGGAGGAACATCTTTATTGGGTGATGGTGGAGGAAAATATGTAGTTCTGAGTTTCTTTACAGATTAGATACTTGAGGAAGATGAAGATATAAAAGATTTATCAAGATTATATTCAATTGGGCTTGATGGTGGATGAATTTGTATTACAGAGAATCTACCGTTGCTTCAAGTTTTTCAAATTATCTTTAATCTGATCATTCATTCTGTCCAAATTCTCTTCAATTATATTACACATATTTTACAATCCAACCAGTAATTTATTCTGAATAGTAGACAAATCTTCACCTTTAGGAAGAGGTGGTTGACTAGGATGTTGAGTAGCAGGTTGGGTAGGATGTTAAGCAGAACTTTGAGGTGGTTCTTGATGCAGAGGATGGGGAGAGGGAGGTCAGGGGGTGTGAACTTTTTTTGGATGTGGTGAGTAGATTTTGTGGGGATATTGATGAGGTCAAATTTTCAGGTTTTAAATAGCATTTAAGTCAGCCCAGAATTTTTCTGCTTCCTCGTTAGTAATATTTTTTAGAATAAGATAATTCTGCACAAAATTTAAAACTAATATTATCAAATATCTCGTATTTCTAAAAGATAATAAGATTTAGTTGTGCTTTAGCTGCTCAATAGTTATGTTATAGTCGCTCTTTAACTGCTCTATAGTTGTGATATTTGTATGCTTTAGTTGCGCTTTAAATATGCTTTTCATGTGCTTTTATTGGGTTTGGTATAAAAAATTATCAAATAAAATTTAGTGTTAAAACGTACCTCCTTTGTCTTTAAAATTTTAAATAAGTTCATAACACTATCTTGGGTAAAGAATATTTCAGTATTCCCCTCCCATCTAAAAAAAATGTGATCTTAATTTTGGATTGGATGATTTATTTATGAAGAAATATCTTTCACCAACCCGATGCGGCAGAGGACCTTACTCTTTTCACCCTCCTAGTGATGCAAAGAACCTAGAATCATTTTTCACCCTCCTAGTGAAGGTAGAGAATCTGGAATCCTTTTTCACTCTTTTAGTGAAGGTAGATAACCTAAAATCTTTTTTCACCCTCATAGTGAAGGCAGTGTACCTCAAAACTTCTTCTACTTCTAGGAGAAGCTAAAGTACCCTGAATCTTTTTTCACCCTTCAGGTGATGGAAAAGAACCACGACCTAGTACTATAGAATGTCTCTCCATAGCCACCAAAGAATCAAGAAAGAGACTTGAAGAACAAAGACAAGAATCATACTTGGAGTAATCTTGTGAATCCTTCATAACTTTCCCTCATAAAAAGCTCTTCCTCTCTTCTCTCCCAAAGCTCTCCTAAACTCCTCTATGCTCCCTCTCAAAGCACTTTGTAGAAAAAAGCTTTTTGAACAAGTTTAAGTGAGAGTTTAAATAGAGAGCCTATCCAGAAGCCCTAAATTTCAATCTATCATTTTAGATTATCCAGTAAAATGTACGATTAGTATGAAATAGCCCTTTAAAATAGTATGAACAACATTATCTTGAATGACAAGTTCAAGAGTTTCTACTGATTGTCTAGTATGATAATAAATTGGGAATTTCATCTTGTGTGATAGGTGAAAATAAATTATCATCCCATGCATCACTATGGTAATGCAGTACAATTATTA